AACGATTTGATTCTACGCTTTTAAAGATTTGTCAAAAATTATTGTATATCTAGTTCCTTCAAAAGCTGCTAAATATTACATGAAAAGTAAATCAACAAGGAGTTACTTTCACAAATGTTTTCTCTTAATATAGTTTGATTTCAAATCACTTTGTGATTTATCAGTATAGATGAACTGCATGCCTTTGGTAGCACTATTCTTTACATCTAAACCAGACCCTCCTTAGAGCGTCAACTCGGTCGAACTATTTTTGAAAATTGAGAAAGACAGTATATTACATGGTTGGTCAAACACAAGAAAAGTTTTAAATGAGACAGCACTTTTCAACACATTTAGGGCACGAGTACACCCTGATGTCAGGGTCTAGTTATAGTAATATAAAGGTCAAGTATACCCAGTATCAGAATCAGACAGTTTGGCGCCGTGGCCCCGCTCTACAAAATCTTCATCTATTTGGCTCGATACACCAACCTCTATGACCTAAACCAATGTCCTAATACATGCTCTTACACAGATGAATGTTTTGAAATGACATAAGGTCTTGAATATCAAAGAATTCTAAAAAGCTTCAGTGACTCTCCTGTTGTATGATATGCTCGTTTACAGCCGAGTTCGTAATGTGATATTTCGTATAGAGATCGGAGGGCGATCGGGAGACCAGAAGGCAAACTTCTGACATGGAAAAAAGAAAACAAAAGATTGAACATTTTTGGCAATGCTCGAAAAATCAAATCTATCCACATTTTTTGTATATAGATGAAGTATGATTGGAAAACAATCGCTGTGCAATTGGTTTTTGAAAATATTTCATTTTTCGCATGAGGAAATCTCTAAACGATGACATATAATAGGACTTTGCGTGACAAATGCTTGATTGCTAAAAATAGCTCTCAAGATAGCCAAACTTCATACCGACCTCATGCAAGAAAATAGCTATTTTAAAAATTTAAATTGCCGCTTTCTAACTAACTCTTTTTTATTTATTTCATTGATTTTCAGACCACTTAATTGAAAAAAATTCTGGAAATCGAAATATTTGCATATGTATGTGTTTTTTAAATGCAAATTAGTACTTTTGAAAAACGATCAATTTTTTTAATGTGCAAGTATTTTGTGTGCAATAAAATTCGGACTAATTACTAAGCAAGAGATGAGCATTTCAAATACATAAAAAGTAGTCTGGTCAAAACACTCTCAGTTGCATAGAAATGAAAACTTCTGGAGATAATCATTAGAAACAACAAATGCTTAAACAACCGAAATTCATTTACATTGCCTAAAATAAAATAAAAAAAATCTTAACCCTATGTATTTTAATAACATACATTTGATGTTGATTAGATGTTTATAAGCTTTGAAAATTGTTCGGTTAATACAATTGACAAAATACGTGACTTACGCTAATGATTGTGACTAGAATAAAGTCATTCCTACACACCTGAGAGTGATTTCTCCAGACTAAATTTTATTTCATTGTAAAGCTCATCCCTTAGTGCTTAGTTATCGCTCCGAATTTCAACGAAAGAAATACAAAAGAGTTACTTCGAAAGCCACAATTTAAATTATTAAAATAWTACTATTTTATATTTCAAACAAGCTCGGTASAGAGTTTTGKCTATTTGTCACGCAAAGGYCCAGTATKTAACATTGTTTTCTTGCGAAAWACGAAATATTTTCAAAAACCAATTATCACCTTATATCTTCGTTTTCGTCACATATTTCGTGATTGGCCATATTTCCTGTTACACAGCGATTGTTACCTAATCATACCTTATCTATATACAAAATATGAATAGATTTGATTTTTCGTGACTTTGCCAAGATATGTCTGATTTTTGCGCGAAGTGGCTCTTAATTATGTACAGACTRCCGCCCATGTGAAGCAATCATCAGTTGGTTTGTAATCGCCAAGAAAGCAAGCTGGCTTATGGTTAATTTAAGGTAATAAATCTAAGCGGTTTCGTGTGGATACTTACAATTTGTCCTWGCCGAGAGGCTATTTGATACTAGTTACTCTTGTTAAACTCTATCAGTGGCATAAGTAGTAGAAACACTATGCCTGTGTTCGCAGTCGACGTTTATTGGGTATAACACTATCACCTCTCAAAGCTATCGATCAAATTGGATGCCGTGTCAGTTACGAGTCAGCTCGGAACTTTATGCTTCAATTGATTGCTAACGCGTCAGTGTCATTAGTCTCATTATGCATATTTTTCCAACCAAAGAGACATTACTTTAAGCTTCAGAAAACTGCGATTGTTTCTAAGACAATCGAAATACTTGATATCGAAAGAATTTTGCCACATGAATTGAGTACAGGGTTCATGCTATATTTTCATCACAAAATTCAAAGTATCCTTCAAGTACTTGTAAAACACAAATTTGATAATCAAGGGCTCGTTTAAGTGCCTATTAAGTTTTATGCATTTTTTGTGGCGGCGATTTTGGAAAATTCTCCCATTTAAATTAATAAAATGTAAAAACAACTTTTAGACTGGAAACAGACTCAAGGAGTATTTCAGGGAGTTTTCTTCTGCATRTTTTTCGACTCTCCTATTTTCAAGKGCTCTTGAAGGATTTCAAGGATTAGAACGAGTCCTCCTGTAAATGCAATATATTTTATTGAGCACAATTTTCTGTTCAATAAACTGATTTTTTTAGATTTCTGTAGATAATGTGAATAACTTAATCACTGGTAGAAATGTTTCGAGGCATGCAGGGAAATGTAGAGGGAAATGGTTAGGAATCCTGTTTTTGTAGGTTTTTGTGCACTTTTTTCCAAGCTTGACAGGAGTGCACAATCTAACCATTGTTTTAGCCATACTGGTCACATCTGAATGAACAGAGCGAAAGTCATTCTATTTCTYCAAAATGCACAAAAAATAACCAATATTGAAATACTTCATTTCATACTCTCTTAGGGGTTGTTTATGTTTAGTCATTTTGCAATTTCTACCTTACGTAAGAAAAAGTTGTGCGCGCGTCTTGACTGCGATTCAACCTCAAAATACACTATATAAAAGATGTACAAAAGCAGTAAAACAAAAGGTTTTCAAACCATTCCCCTCTATAACTATGAATAAGCTTACATATTTTCTATTATACAATAACATGYCAAAAGCAATTTTTGTATGAAGCTAAAAATTGAGAAATTTAGTGAGTATTAATGCATTTGATTAATATTACATTAAAAAAGTGTAAAAGAAAATGTCATTTTATATTTGTGCTTAATTGAGAATTTTCTGACRRTGTTTCTATTGTTTCTTTTCTACACTCGTTCCTGCTGTCTCATGCTTCTTCTCGAATTCTCAATGAAGGCATGGAAAAATGTTATATTACTTTTATGCCCCCCCCTGCTTCTGTTAATTATTGAAAAGTCCCTTATCGAAAATGCTTTCAAAAAAATGCTCAAGAGCATTGCAATAAAATAAGATTATACTCATGCCAACACAAAAAGATTAAAAATGCAATGACCCTACCGGATGTAAATTAGCGTTTCTAAACTACCACTAAACTTTAATGGTAATCYATTCATTGTTACTTGCCTGACGAGTGTGGTCATCTCTAAAATGACAATACAAAACCAGCTTGTATGAATAAAACAATAAAACAATGAATCATTCAAGTCTTTAGTAATTTTATTTTATGCATACACATATATAAATATTGTTAGTATTAAAACGAATTAACAGATTAATTCAAAAATAGTTGATTAGAATAATTGCATATTACATTAATTACAATTGTGCTTGAGCTTGAGCAGTACAYGGCATTACTGTTTCATCTCAWACGGACAGCTCCGTTATCAATAMATATAAATATAGATATATGACAATTGTCAACAAAAAAGGGCGAGAAAGAACCAAGATCCTAATTTGATGCACGCGCGGCCGGGCTGCCTGAAACACGCCTTWTGGCCCGCTAAATATGGACTTAAAACAAAGTCCCCTTTTGTCATGTAATCTGTCATCTTAGAGTTTGTACAGCGGCACGCAAGCCACGGAGCAACATCAGTCTGGCCTTGGTGCTCAACAAGAGCGCGCCTTGAACTCGTGACTTTTGAGAAAGCAGACGCAGCAACAAAAGCATCATAGAAAGAGGCTCAGAGGGGTTGACAGTTGAACGTCATATAGGGCAAATTTGAGCCTTCAAACGTCAAATCGCTGGTATATTTAAACAGTCAACCGTCAAAAACGCRAACCTTCAAAAACAGTGGCAATAATGAATTACAAGATTTTCCTCCCAATTGAGCATGTTCTGTTTTGTTCTGTTCAACGAGCTGCTCCAAACCACCATTGGGTAGTGGCGGACGGATCAGCGCTGCATCGATGATTCGAGTTTATGATGTTGTAATACCCAAAATTTTCACAGTAATCATATGAACAATACAAACTATTACAATCCAAAATTTTTTTGCTGGTGCTTGTATCAAGCCGAAGTTTACACCTATAWKTACTTTGTGATCCTATCTGACTATCCACGTTTGCATGCATGTTGGAAGTCTGCCTCATGAACACTGTRCAACCCCTGCAACTGATACCTCTAACATTGGCRTAATCTGCACGATAACAACCATATSCTTGATTCTTSARRATATCAAAGACCTGAATGCTACTCTGAAGGAAGTCAGTTTTGTTTAGTCCGTCCTTGTCATATTTGCAAGTCGCTCTCCAGTGCGTTGCGTGACTCTGGATGTGTTGCATGACAGAGAGTGACAGGCGGTAGTCGGTCCAGTTAAAGTTGTTCTCGTTAACTGGGAAATCTTTGCTCAGAGGCGTATGCTTATATTTTTGGTTATTCGACCGAGAAAACGACTCTAGTAGGGTCCAAACCATTCCAGGTTCAGAGGTCATGTCACAGTATACATTAATAAATGTACTTTTCGAAGTGTATATTGGGAAGACGTTAGCAGATGACCGTTTGCTGTATGCATTRCATGATACAGGCACGTCRCACACCCTTCCWCTATACCCTGATGGACATTTGCACTCAAACTTACGCGTGACATTGTCACACAACTCAATACAAGTTGCTCCATTTTGACAAGGCGAGAAACGACAGCATCCATTGCTACACTTGCTTAAGCAGCCTGATTCCTGATCCTGTAAAAAATAGAAGCCATTGGTTTTTATGCTGACTTTTAGGCACTTTTTTCACTATGTTGTAATTTTCTCAGCGCAATTTATTTTGCGACATCGATATGAAACACGCTGATGAAGTGTTGTTGCGAGGCTGAGCGGATAAACCTTTTGCAATACGAATTGCGACAACTTGCAATGCCATTATACAGTGTATCCCTCCAAAAATGCTATTTGTAATTGTTCTATTACGTATTATATATGAACACATCGTCATTTCCAAAAACCACTTCTCGTTTCGCAAAACCGTTATTACACATTTAATTATTAACCAGTAGTTTTATAGTTTAATTAAAGTAGATCGTCCTGGTGTTAGAAKTCTTGTAGAAGACTGTTAAAACGGTTTTATACGGTACGATTGTCGAAGACGAAATGTTGTACACGATCCTACCACAAGCCATAGGTTTTTGGAGCTCATTTTGCTCCTATACTAAAAGTTGCAGACGACAATCGTACCCTGTAAATCTGCCTTTAAAGTCACCTGACGTATCAAATCGTGCATGACTTCCATGCCGGATGTCACGAAACGTCGGGTAACAATAAGACATACCTACACCATAGACCGCTCCTACCAGGTTTAAGATCCCTTCAGTCTCAAATTAAGTTACGTCTTATCATATGTTTGAACGTTTTCATCATTTCTTCCATAGTATGAAGTATTTACCTTACTCTTGAACTCCTGTTTCAGCTCGAAGTACATGTAACCAGGCGCTTTCTTAAAGCGCTCTGCTGGAACAGTGTATCTGTTCTCGTCAATCAACTCGCAWTTCCTACCATAGAGCTGATATGATACACATCTACAATCTTGCACACAGATACCAAAGCATTGCTGGATTGTATCTGYAGTAAGATTCTTGTARGAACTTCCAAATAGGGCGYGGTCTTGCACGTGGKTTTTGAAGTCAAAGCTTCCAGTATATCTGATCATTGGACAAGTCGGTTGGAAACAGGTAATGATTGGGGCCAAGGTAAGGCAAAGGGTGACCAACGTGTAACTTTTCTTCATCTACACAARAATATAAAGTATCTAAATTCCTACAGTTAGCTGTTTGTCAGCTCAGTTTTCAAGGAGGTCTGCAGAGAATTATAGAATAGATTTGTATTATCTGAACAGGGAAGACTGAAGTCTGGATCAAATAGAGGGGAAGGAATTTTGGAAATTTTTGAAGCCCCATACCTCCCTTTTCCATGAATGTTTTTTTTTTTCTTGTCTTTGGTATTGCCATGGGGACGTGTTGGATAACTAGTAATGTAACTGCTTTACAGTAAGTAGATCGAAGTTTTCTACTACCTAGCTAAAAGCGTCTAGATAAGCAGTCAAGCAACACAGATAAGGTGCCATTCATTCGAATTAATTTGAGGGGGGAGGGGGTTGGAAGATTTTGGTCCTGCAAGAAGTTTTTTAGGACTTCAGGCCCGCGCATGAAATTTTGGTTTGTAAACTTAAAAGCTTTTTTGGAGATTTTTCAAAATTTTTACCTGTGTAGATTTATTTTTCTGCCCTTCGGGCCTTGCAAGAAATTTTYATTTCAAAATCTTCGAAACCTCATGTAATTAAAAATAACATCGGCGTTGTCAGTAATTAACTTAGCTCTATTTACAACACCAACCATTTTTGCTGTTAGAGCGGATTTCGTATGAGTGGGACACCGTTAACGCACGGTTATCGCACAGTTACCGGACCTGGGCTTCACAATTTTGGTGAACCAATGGGGCACTAGAATTTGGTTACAGTACGATTCCGGTTACCGTACAGTGCCGTCCGTTTCCCACTCATACGAAATCTGGTTGTTGTTGAACTATTTATCAAACTTATTTGACACAAAAGTCCGGCTTGAATGCTTTCATGGTAAATCATGCTGAAAATATCTTTTTAGATCTGAACTCGATTACTATTCTAGTGAATGTAGATTGTTGCGTTTTGGGAAACCTCTTCAGTAAGGATGAACATCATGAAAGGGTAATTGTTAAGGAGTTAATAGCACGCTCTTGCACTGCAGGGCTCCGCTTATCATCTCGTCATTCCTTTTTAGTCTTAATTGAATTTTCATAAATAAATTATAGCCGGAGAGTTTCATGCAAGGAACTTTCTCGAAATTTTATTAACTTTTCTCAAAGCAGCGAATTACCTCTATTGTTTCCTTGCATGTTAGAAAGACATTAAATTCACCTATACATTCTCGACCACTGATCAGCTTTTAAAAAAAATAAAAAAATAAACTGCTATTATGGAAGGCCAACACAAGGGTCGGACGAACAAGATTCGATAAAAAGAATAGATTTCGACATAAGAAAAGCATGGGAAATCGCAATTACTTCATTTCAAGGTTTTGATGTGATCATAACCAGCTGAATATTTTGCAAAAACTTGCATCCCTCAACGTGAAAACAGAGTGCAATCAATTAAACCATTAATTAACCCATAATCGGGCAAATCTCACTCAATTAGGCGTGTTTCCTTTTTTTTATAAAATTTATACGATATTAAGTATTATTCTTAGATTAATGCTTTTTGCCAACTAAGATGAGTCATTTAACCTCATTAAATCTTAAAAATGCATCTAATGAAAAATACACGTCGATTTCAAAAAGATTTCATCATCAAAGCAAATTAGACCGAGAAGAAGCATGAGAAACTAAATAATTTATGATTTTGACATGTAAAACATGTTTTTTTTAGTGCAAAAATTTACCTACGCTGGATAAAAAGACGTCGTCTGTGCATACATATGATCAGTGTAAAATGTTTTGGCAAACACGATTCGAATCCATTAGTATCCAAAATCCCTTTAATTGACCTTAGATTTGACGATATCACCATTTCGCTACCCGATGACAACTTTTTCTTTATGAAGTGTAGTTGAATAGACAGAAAAGAATGCCATTTGAGCCTAGTGACTTCTATTAGTGTAAGATCGATTTGAMTTTTTTATTGCTTTACTCTAGTTGCTAGCTCTCGACCTCTATGATTTCTTAGTTAATTTAATCTACAGTAATCTAACTTTAGGTTTGCAGTTAATTGTTTGTTGTATTTGGTCAAACATGGCACTTTAATTTAGGATGAAAACATACAAACAGTCACATTCTTGAAATGACAGCATTAGATTTTTTTTCAGTTTAGTATTATTAACAGCATCCAATAATATTGGGAACCTTGTCTTACTAACCTTATTACTAATGCAGTAATTGATGATCTGTTTTTCGCTCTGTTTTTTTTTTATTTTGGTGTTGCTGGCTTGCTGATGTCTTCACAAGAAAATTAATCTATTAAATGCAGTTGCCTTTATTCCATTTGTAGCACAGCAAGACACCAACGGTCAGAGTCTAATCGGCCAATCAAGAAATCAGTCTAATTAATTAGAATAAAGAGTGCCATGTTGTATTTCCAAGTGGTATCTATATTCTTTTTACATGTAGGAACGCTTTAGAAATGCATCTAAAACGGTGCGTTATATATGATTTAACAGAAAACTTTCTAAAATGCCAACAATCGAGTCTTGATTGGTCAATTGGATTCCATTAAAAAAGTGATCAATCAAAACCTCAAGAAGCCAATCCACAGAAAAATCTATTTTCGCGGAAAACTSCGAATGTAGTTGCTTGAAAAAAAGAACTAAAACGGCATTCACGGTAGGACGTTTAGGTTTCTATGAGTGTCATAGAATAGCGTTTGGACCAACGCACTGGCGAATTCCCAAAGGTTGATCGATGACAGTGTGATTTATGMTAAGACGTTTGAGGGGCATTTACAAAGATCGGAATATGTTTATAACAGGCTAGAGCAATGGTCTAAAACTCAGACCTTCGAAGTGCTCCTTCTTTAGAAACAAGGTGAGATATCTTGGTAACGTGATCTCAGAAAATGCCGAATTGAAACCGACCAGGAGAAAACCGAGGCTGTGAGAACATGATCAGCGTCACAAACTTTAAGTCTTGGAGACTTGAAGGCATTTATTGGCTTCATAGGCTACTAGCGACGGTTTATCCCAAAATTATGCAAGACTACTGTTAAGACTACTGAATGAACTTGTCACACGCTTGTTAAAGGATTCTAGCAGTAAAGTACTTGGTGTTTGGTCGACATCCAAGACTTGCGATAGATGTTTACCTGTGCCATGACCCAAATGTGTTGGGGCAGCTCAAGACACAATCAGCTTCTATYAACGATCTACATCAAAGGCTTGATTACGCGCATGCGACAGCAAAGAGGAATGCTTTGAAGTCGGCTYGACATCAGAAGAGGAACTTCGGCCAACACAAACCGACAGCTTCAACATTAGGAACTGGTGACAATGTGTTGGTGAAAAACGTAACACCAACAGGGGAACTCGACTACTATAATTACTGGGAGAAGAAGATTCACACAGTGTTCACACCGTGTTATAAGCCAAACGAAGACAGTCCGGTATACTGTGTGCAAAGAAAAGATGGGACTGACCGTAAAATGATCTTAAACGAATAGATCAAAGAGGGAGCAATGTGCAAACAAGCCCAGAAGTTGTCCGAAAAACGGCATTCCTCAGACAAATGACGTTAGTGATACAGACATTAGAAGTGAAGGTGATCGGAGATCAATGTGCAATAGACGACGCCCTGCGTGGACGAGAGATCCAAATTGGTCGCTCAGCAAACAACGAGCAGAGTTACGTATCCTGTTTTATTGTAAGTCCGATGCGTTTATAAGAAAAGTGCACTAAAGACACAGGATACCATTTGGGTAAAATATAAACAAGAGGTTGAAAGGTGTAGCAGACTGAGAATGGGAGACGGGGAGTGGGTGTGTCCCAAGGGGGTTGAGCGCGCATTTTAAGAGTCCGGTCGATCGTTCAGGGAGAGAGAACTCTATGAACAAGGGTGAGGKGCACGAGCCAGTACGATTGCTGAATTGTACCAGTGTCCGAATGGAAACCCAGGTATAAAAGAGGAGAAATAAAGGAAGAAGACGTTACACTTAGATAAACAAAGCAGCTACATTCAAGTTAAARAACAAGAAATGTAATACGATTAAAYTGAGCTACAATCTTGGACAAAAAGAGTTTGACTAATTCATTTCGTCTATTTAAGGAACATAAGTGCTTTTTACAAATAATGATAAATTTCTCGCTTAGGCATAGCTTACATTTTTTTTGTTATGTTATTGTAAGGTTGACATTTTTAATTTTTTTCCATTTTATGTTATAGTCTTTCTTTCCTTCTTTTAATTTTCAGATGTACTTTGACAGTTCTGTTTCGTTTCTTCGTTTTGACAGTTTTTAAACTTTTTTTTAACTTAAAAGTGAACAAGCACTTATGTTCCAAATGAATTAGCTAGCCCATGTCAACACACAAGTAGATTTACACTAAAAACCATGTAATATAACCCTGCTGGATGTAAACTAGATAGCGTTTTTAAACTACTAGCAAACGGCCATTCATTCATTGTAACTTGCCTGACRAGTGTGGCCATCTCTGATGACCATACGAAACCAGCTTGTACCAATAAAGCAACCAATCATTCAAGTCTTTAAGTACAATTTTACTTTATACAATGCTCCTAAACAAAGTTGAGCACTTTTTTTGAAAACATTTTCGATAATTTTAAGTATGCATACATATATACATGTTGTAAGTATAAAAAGAATTAACAAATTGATCTAAAAATTGTTGCAATACGTCTATATTAAAGCAGTTACAATTGTGCTTGGACGTGAGTAGTAGTGACAGTATGGMATTACTYTTTCACCTTCATCTCAACCGGTTAGCTCCATTGTCAATGRATATAAATATATTTGAATYGTCAACACAAAAGGGCGACAAATTCCCTGTTGATGCACGATTTGTGATATAATCTGTATTGCCTTGTCCTTTTAGAGTTTGTAAAGCGGCACGCAAGCCACAGATCAACAGCAGCCTGGCCCCGGTGCTCAACAATGTCGCGACATGAACTCGGCATTTTTGCGAAAGCARACGGTGTAATTAATAACATTGATATTTTGAAAACCTCCTGATGTAAAAAAAGTCAGTTATCGGCCTGAAGCGAGGGGTTATGTGCCCTCGGTGAATATATCACATAACCCATCGCTTCAGGCCGATAACCCTCCCAAACCATTGGCAATAATGAATTACACGTTTTTCCCCCAACATGAGCATGTTCTGTTCTGTTCAACGAGCTGCTCCAAACCACCATTGGGTAGTGGCGGACGGATCAGCGCTGCATCGATGATTCGAGTTGATGATGTTGTAATACCCAAAATTTTCACAGTAATCATATTTACAACCATCATGACTATGACAATTAAAAG